TGTGTCCTGTTATCAGCTCTTGTTCTGAGCGGAGCTGAGTTGGGTAAGCCTGCCCTCAGGCAGTTAGCAGGGGTCAAAGTTCTGTTCTCTGCTTCCAGCTTCCAGGAAAACCTGTCAGGGTGGAGCTGGAATGGTCTCGCTCAGCCAGAAAGTCTTCTTGTGGGGGTGGGGCTGTCTGAGACCCACAGTCTGGAGCAGGCCTCGCTTCTTTCCACCCTCCCCAACTCCGCAGCTACTCCTAGGTCTCTGCCAGCAGGCCAGACCACACGCCACCAGTCCTCCCCGGATTGTGATGCCGCCGAGGAGGTTCCCTGCGCAGAAACACTGCCTCCCTTTGGTGGGAGGGTTGCCCTCTAGGACGCTGATCTGCCCCTGGAGGCACACACACCTCAGCGGGCTGTTCACAAATATCCCTTCTGTGCCCCGGGGTATGCTAGACCTCGGTGCACGGGATCTGGTCTGCAGGTCCAACCTCTGGGTCCCAGAGTTCAAACTGTATCCCCACCAGGGAAAGAAGTTCCGGTCCCAATTCACCCACAGGGAGCCCAAGCTGTGTCTGTATCTCTCAGCCTCTGAGTCAGCACCGTTCTCCTGGGAACACCGTGCCAGCAGCACCTGGGAGGGCTGGCGGGTAGGGAGCTCACAGTCTGAGTTCCCCTTAGTCAGCTGTAGGGTCCCAAAAGGGAAGGTCCCGTTCCCTGGAGGTGCCTCTGGCTGGTGGCTGTATTGTCTCTCTGGGCAGCCGTAGGTAGGGTCGGCGGAGGGGAGGAGGAGGCAATATGGCGCCTGCCGCTCGGCTCGGGTCTGTGCACACAGAGGTGCCCCGAGGGATTTGGGAGTCTGGTGCCGTGTCCACTACAGGCTCATCGCTAGCTGGCGGCGGCCGTCTCTGGGCTGGTGTCCGCAGGTCTCTCCACCCGCTGGGAAGCCCACCAGCAGTCCCAAATGCAGGGGAGGGGAAACAGCAAATCCACCTACCCTTCCCGCTGGTCTCCGGGCTGCTCCGGCGCTCTCAGCTTCCAGTTCTCCTCCGCAGCCTCCTCCCGTGGAATCTCCCGGGGTCTCAGGTAACCCTCCTTCTGGCCCTCGTCTGCTGTATGCTCGCCTTCTTGCTTCTTTTTTCTAATTTCTGCTAGAATCTGTCTTTTCTGCAGAGACACTCTTTCTGGTGGTGTTTCTCGTCCGCCATCTTGATCCTGACTCTGGAGACAGATTTTTAAGGACATTATAACAATGCCAGTCTAATAAGTTTTATCTTTTTATACAGGAGTCATTGGTTTAAGCTGTTTTTTAAGAATCATAATCTTCTAGAACTTCCCAGGAAAGTTCACTTCACTTAGGGCCGGGGTCCTCAAACTTTTTAAACAGGGGGTCAGTTCACTGTCCCTCAGACCATTGGAGGGCCGGAGTATAGTTTAAAAAAAACTATGAACAAATACCTATGCACACTGCACATATCTTATTTTGTTGTTTGTTTTGTTTTGTTTTGTTTTGTTTTGTTTTGAACAAGCAAGTCTCGACTTTGTTGCCTAAGCTAGAGTGGTGCTATGGCAATCGCCTAGCTCACAGCAACCTCAATCTCTGGGCTCAAGTGATCCTTCTGCCTCAGCCTCCCCAAGAGGCTGGGACTACGGCATGTGGCCACCATGCCTGGCTAATTTTTTTTGAATTTATTCCACAACATGTCCTGCTGTATTGCTGGGGAGGCTTACCATAAATTGCGGCTCTGAGTCTCCTAACAACTAAAAGCAATGAAAAATACAGTTATAAGTTTCACATTGTCCATAAGAGGTATTTTTTGGACTGGGTGGGAGGTGGCTCCACACCTGCTTAATCCTAGCACTCTGGGGAAGGGCCAAGGCAGGAGGATTGCTTGAGGCCAAGAGTTCGGAAACCAGGGCCTAGCAAGAGCAAGACCCATCTTACTAAAAATTTAAAAGAAATTAGCTGGACAACTAAAAAAGTATATAGAAAAATATAGAAATAAAGTATATGGCAAATATATAGGAAAAAATTAGGCCGGCATGGTGGCGTATGCCTGTTGAGCCCAGCTATTCCCAGAGGGGAGCTGAAGGCTGAAGGCATTGAGCGATCGCTTGAGCCGGGAGTTAGAGGTTGGTTGGGTGGAGTTAAGGCACTCTAGACCACGGTGACAAGGCCAAGACTCGCGTCCAAAAAAAAAAAAAAAAAAAAAGGATTTTTTTTTTAAGTTGCTTAAGAAAAGCATAGTTTTTTTGTATAAAAGCCTGCCAAAAAATTTTTCTCTCATGGTTCTCATAAGGGAATAATCTTGATATTCACTGTTACATTGTGTTTTTCTTTCTTTGTAGAATTTGAGGAACCCCATTCTCAGAAAGTTTAAGGCTCACGCCCCTATTCATTAACTCCAGCCCAATTATAGAGTTCTTATTTAAATGCTGGTAAGAAATATAAACATATATAACACAAGTCCCTACCCTCATCTATTATGTAACAATAATAGTTAATAGCATATTATATTTAATATAGCTAAATATATTTATAATATAGTAAGGATGAATTAATTAGTATCCATTGAAACTAGAATAATTAATGTGAATAACTATAAATCAAAAAAGTATTTGAGGACCGGGCGCAGTGGCTCACTGCTGTAATCTAGCCTCTGGTAGGGCTGAGGCGGGAGGACTGCTTGAGGTCAGAAGTTCGAAACCAGCCTGAGCAAGAGCAAGACCGCCTCTACTATAAACAGGCAAGAAATTAATTGGCCACTAATATATATTTAGAAAAAATTAGCAGGCATGGTGGCACATGGCTGTCAGTCCCAGCTACTCAGGAGGCTGAGGCAGAAGGATTGCTGAGCCCAGGAGTTTGAGGTTGCTGTGAAGCTAGGCTGGACGCCAGGGT